CCGCGTCCCCCGAACCCCCTGAGCGCTTCCCCATCCCAGAACTCCGCAATTCCCGCTTTTCCCCGAATCCCACCTTGGGGGCTGTGACACCATCAATGACATCATCAATGATGTCACCGATGACGTCACTGATGATGATGATGATGATGATGATGATGATGATGATGATGATGATGATGATGATGATGATGTCACTGATGACGTCACCGCCCGCAGCGGCCGGGCTGTATTACCTGGCAGAGCTGATCGAGGAGTTCACCGTGCTCACCAAGAGGATCATCAAGTACATGATCTGGGTGAGTGAAACTGGGAATTCCCACCGGGAATTCCCAAACTGGGAAATCCCAAACAGGAAATTCCCAAACCGGGAATTCCCAACCGGAAATTCCCAAACCGCGAAATCCCAACCGGGAAATCCCAACCGGAAATTCCCAAACCGGGAAATTCCCAAACCGGGAAATCCCAACCGGGAAATTCCCAACCGGGAAATTCCCAAACCGGGAAATTCCAACCGGAAATTCCCAAACCGGGAAATCCCAAACCGGGAAATCCCAACTGCGAATCTCAACTGGAAATTCCCAACCGGGAAATCCCAACCATGAAATTCCCAACTGGGAAATCCCAATGAGAAATTCCCAACCGGAAAATCCCAACTGGAAAATTCCCAACCGGGAAATCCCAAACTGGGAAATCCCAACCATGAAATTCCCAACCAGGAAATTCCCAATGGGAAATTCCCAACCAGGAAATTCCCAACTGCAAATCCCAACCGGAAACTCCCAACCGGGAATTCCCAAGCTGGAAATTCCTAACTGGGAAATTCCCAACTGCGAATCCCAAACTGGGAAATCCCAACTGGGAAATTCCCAACAGGGAAAACCCAAACCAGGAAATCCCAACCGCGAATCCCAACTGGAAATTCCCAACAGGGAAATTCCAACTGGAAAATTCCCAACTGGGAAATTCCCAACCATGGAATTCCCAACTGGGAAATTCCCAACCATGGAATTCCCAACTGGGAAATTCCCAACCATGGAATTCCCAACAGGGAAAACCCAAACCAGGAAATCCCAACCATGAATCCCAACCAGGAAATTCCCGGGAATTCCGCCCTCTTCCCCTCCCCCCACTTTGGGAATCCTCAGATTCCCGGCCGGACCCCGGCGGGAATCGTCGATTCCGTCCGTGCCAGGCTGTGTTTTCTCTTGGAATTCCATCCCGGATTTCTTTTTTTTCCGTGGGTATTCCCAGTTTTCCTCGGCGGTGCTGGTGGGGCTGTACCTGTTCGAGCGATTCCCGGCGTTCCTGGTGGGAATGGGGCTCTTCACCAACCTCGTCTACTTCGGATTGCTCCGGACTTTTCCCTTCATCGTCCTCACCTCCTCCAACTTCATCCTGTCCTGCGGTCAGGGATCCCAGCCGGGGATTTGGGAATTCTGGGGATCAGGAAAGGGCTCGGAATGGCTCCAGGGATTTGGGATTCCCTGGGGATTCCCAAGGGCTCCGAGTGGTCCTGAAATTTGGGATCCTTGGATGCCCGGTCCAGGGGTTGGGGGTTCCTGGGTGTCCCGGAAATTTGGGATTTTGGGGTTCTCCAATGGGTCGGAACATCCCAGAAATTTGGGATTCCAGGAGATTCCCAAGGTCTCAGAGTGTCCCAGAAATTTGGGATTTTGGGACTTCCCAAAGCTCAGAAAATTCCAGAAATTTGGGATCCTTGGATACTCAAGAGGTCCAGAGAATTCCAGGGGTTGGGGGTTCCTGGGTGTCCCGGAAATTTGGGGATTTTGGGGTTCTCCAATGGGTCGGAACATCCCAGAAATTTGGGATTCCAGGAGGTCCTCAAAGGCTCAAAAAATTCCAGGAATTTGGGATCCTTGGGTGCCACAAAAATTCCGGGAATTCCAAGGAATTGGGGGTTTCTGAGTGTCCCAGAAATTTGGGATTCCTGGGGATTCCCAAGGGCTCAGAGTGTCCCGGAAATTTGGGATTTTGGGACTTCCCAAAGCTCAGAAAATTCCAGAAATTTGGGATCCTTGGATACCCCAAAAGGTCCAGAGAATTCCAGGGGTTGGGGGTTCCTGGGTGTCCCGGAAATTTGGGGTTCCAGGAGGTCCCCAAAAGCTCAGAAAATTCCAGGAATTTGGGATCCTTGGATACTCAAGAGGTCCAGAGAATTCCAGGGGTTGAGGGTTCCTGGGTGTCCCGGAAATTCGGGATTTTGGGACTTCCCAAAGCTCAGAGAATCCCAGAAATTTGGGATTGCTGGGGGTCCTCAGAGGCTTGGAAAATTCCGGGAATTTGGGATCCTTGGACACCCCAAAAATTCCAGGAATTCCAAGGAATTGGGGGTTCCTGAGTGTCCCGGAAATTTGGGATTCCAGGAGAGTCCCACGGTCTCGGAGTGGTCCTGAAATTTGGGATCCTTGGATACCCAGTCCAGGGATTCGGGGTTCCTGGGTGTCCCGGAAATTTGGGATTTTGGGACTTCCCAAAGCCCAGAGAATCCCAGAAATTTGGGATTCCTGGGGATTCCCAAGGGCTCCAAGTGGTCCTGAAATTTGGGATCCTTGGATACCCCAAAAGGTCCAGAGAATTCCAGGGGTTGGGGGTTCCTGGGTGTCCCGGAAATTCGGGATTTTGGAGTTCTCCAATGGGTCAGAACATCCCAGAAATTTGGGATTCCAGGAGGTCCCCGAAAGCTCAGAAAATTCCAGGAATTTGGGATCCTTGGACACCCCAAAAATTCCGGGAATTCCAAGGAATTGGGGATTCCTGAGTGTCCCGGAAATTTGGGATTCCAGGAGAGTCCCACGGTCTCGGAGTGGTCCTGAAATTTGGGATCCTTGGATACCCAGTCCAGGGATTCGGGGTTCCTGGGTGTCCCGGAAATTTGGGATTTTGGGACTTCCCAAAGCCCAGAGAATCCCAGAAATTTGGGATTCCTGGGGATTCCCAAGGGCTCCAAGTGGTCCTGAAATTTGGGATCCTTGGATACCCCAAAAGGTCCAGAGAATTCCAGGGGTTGGGGGTTCCTGGGTGTCCCGGAAATTTGGGATTCCAGGAGGTCCCCAAAAGCTCAGAAAATTCCAGGAATTTGGGATCCTTGGATACTCAAGAGGTCCAGAGAATTCCAGGGGTTGAGGGTTCCTGGGTGTCCCGGAAATTCGGGATTTTGGGACTTCCCAAAGCTCAGAGAATCCCAGAAATTTGGGATTGCTGGGGGTCCTCAGAGGCTTGGAAAATTCCGGGAATTTGGGATCCTTGGACACCCCAAAAATTCCAGGAATTCCAAGGAATTGGGGGTTCCTGAGTGTCCCGGAAATTTGGGATTTTGAGGATTTCCCAAAGACTCAGAAAATCCCAAAAATTTTGGGATCTCCGGGTTCTTCCGAACCCTCCAAAAACCCCCCCAAAAAATCCAAGATTTTCCCAAACCCTCTGGAAAAAAAAATAAAAAAAAATCCAAGAAACGAAAAAATCCCCAAATTCCGGGCTTTGGGAATGGGGGGAGGGCTCCAAAATTCGGGAATTTCCCTTTGGAATGTGCTGATCCCGCTGTTTTTCCCTGTTTTTCCTGGCAGTGCTGGTCGTGGTCAATCACTACTTGGCATTCCAATATTTTGCCGAGGAATTTTATCTCTTCTCCGAGGTGAGATCCCGTCGGGAAGCAAAATCCTGGGATTTTCCAAGGAAAAAAATGGAAAATCCCAAATTATTTGGGGTTAAAATATCAAAATCCCGGGATTTTCCCGGGAAAAAAATGGAAAATCCCAAATTTTTGGGGGTTAAAATATCAAAATATTTTTTCCAGGGAAAAAATGGAAAATCCCCAATTTTTTGGGTTAAAATATCAAAATCCTGGGATTTTCCAGGGAAAAAATGGAAAATCCCAAATTTTTTTGGGTTAAAATATCAAAATCCTGGGATTTTCCTGGGAAAAAATGGAAAATCCCAAATTTTTTGGGGGGTTAAAATATCAAAATATTTTCTCCAGGGAAAAAATGGAAAATCCCCAATTTTTTGGGGTTAAAATATGAAAATCCTGGGATTTTCCAGGGAAAAAATGGAAAATCCCAATTTTTTTGGGTTAAAATATGAAAATCCCAGGATTTTCCTGGGAAAAAATGGAAAATCCCAATTTTTTGGGGGGTTAAAATATCAAAATATTTTTTCCTGGGAAAAAATGGAAAATCCCAAATTTTTTTGGGTTAAAATATCAGAATCCCAGGATTTTCCAGGGAAAAAATGGAAAATCCCAAATTTTTTGGGGTTAAAATATCAGAATCCCAGGATTTTCCAGGGAAAAAATGGAAAATCCCAATTTTTTTTGGGTTAAAATATCGAAATATTTTTTCCTGGGAAAAAATGGAAAATCCCAAATTCTTGGGGGTTAAAATACCAAAATCCCGGGATTTTCCTGGGAAAAAATGGAAAATCGCAAATTCTTGGGGGTTAAAATATCAAAATCCCAGGATTTTCCTGGGAAAAAATGGAAAATCCCAATTTTTTTTGGTTAAAATATCAAAATCCTGGGATTTTCCAGGAAAAAAATGGAAAATCCCAAATTTTTGGGTTAAAATATGAAAATCCCGGGATTTTCCTGGGAAAAATGGAAAATCCCAAATATTTTTGGGGTTAAAATATCAAAATCCCGGGATTTTCCTGGGAAAAAACGGAAAATCCCAAATTATTTGGGGTTAAAATATCAAAATATTTTTTCCTAGGAAAAAATGGAAAATCCCAAATTTTTTTGGGTTAAAATATGAAAATCCCGGGATTTTCCTGGGAAAAAATGGAAAATCCCAAATTTTTGGGGGTTAAAATATCAAAATATTTTTTCCAGGGAAAAAATGGAAAATCCCCAATTTTTTGGGTTAAAATATCAAAATCCTGGGATTTTCCTGGGAAAAAATGGAAAATCCCAAATTTTTTTGGGTTAAAATATCAAAATCTTGGGATTTTCCTGGGAAAAAATGGAAAATCCCAAATTTTTTTGGGGTTAAAATATCAAAATATTTTTTCCTGGGAAAAAATGGAAAATCCCAAATTTATTTGGGGTTAAAATATGAAAATCCTGGGATTTTCCCGGGAAAAAATGGAAAATCCCAAATTTTTTGGGTTAAAATATCAAAATCCTGGGATTTTCCTGGGAAAAAATGGAAAATCCCAAATTTTTTGGGGTTTAAATATAAAAATCCTGGGATTTTCCTGGGAAAAAATGGAAAATCCCAAATTTTTTTGGGTTAAAATATCAAAATCCCGGGATTTTAAGGGGTTTTTTTCCCAGTTTTTATTTTTTTTGGGATTTTCCTGAGTTTTTAAAATTCCTGGGAATTCGCAGGTTTGGGGTTTTCCCGAGAAATTCTGGGAATGTGGAAAATTCATTTCGGTTTATCCCTAAAAATCGGGAAAATCGGGGAATTCGCGTGGTTCAAATTCCGGGTTTTTCCCGTTGGGAATTCCCGTTCCTGGTTTTTCTGGAATTCCATGAGGAAAATCTCAATTCCCTAAAAATGGAGGAAAAATCCCCGTTTTTCCCATGAAATTGTTTTGGGGGAGATTTCATGGAATTCAAATTTTCCGGCTGGAAGTTTTTGGGAATTCTGAATGGAATTTTTGGGAATTCCGGCAGGATTTTTTTGGGAATTCCGGCTGGAATTTTTGGGAATTCCAACTGGAGTTTTTTGGGAATTCCAGCTGGATTTTTTTGGGAATTCTGGTTGGAATTTTTTGGGAATTCTGGTTGGATTTTTTGGGAATTCCGGCAGGATTTTTTTGGAATTCTGGCTGAAATTGTTGGAAATTCTGTCCGGAATTTTTTGGGAATTCCAGCTGGAATTTTTTGGGAATTCTGGCTGGAATTGTTGGGAATTCCAGCTGGAATTTTTTGGGAATTTCGGCTGAAATTGTTGGAAATTCTGACCGGAATTTTTTGGGAATTCCAGCTGGAATTTTTTTAGGAATTCTGGCTGGAATTTTTTGGGAATTCTGGTTGGATTTTTTGGGAATTCTGGCTGGAATTGTTGGGAATTCTGGCTGGATTTTTTTGGAATTATGGCTGGAATTTTTTGGGAATTCTGGTTGGAATTGTTGGAAATTCTGTCTGGAATTTTTTGGGAATTCCAGCTGGGATTTTTTGGGAATTCCGGCTGGACTTTTTGGGAATTCCGGCTGGATATTTTTTAATTCCAGCTGGAATTTTTTTGGGAATTCTGGCAGGATTTTTTTGGAATTCTGGCTGGAATTTTTTGGGAATTCTGGTTGGAATTGTTGGAAATTCTGTCCGGAATTTTTTGGGAATTCCAGCTGGAATTTTTTGGGAATTCCAGCTGGAATTTTTTGGGAATTCCGGCTGGAATTGTTGGGAATTCCGGCTGGATATTTTTTAATTCCAGCTGGAATTTTTTTGGGAATTCTGGCAAGATTTTTTTTGGAATTCTGGCTGGAATTGTTGGGAATTCCAGCTGGAATTTTTTGGGAATTCTGGCTGGGATTTTTTGGGAATTCCGGCTGGAATTTTTTGGGAATTCCGGCTGGAATTTGTTGGGAATTCCGCAGGTTCTGGCGTATTTCACCTTCTGCCTGTGGCTGATTCCCTTCGCCTTCTTCGTGTCGCTGTCGGCCGGGGAGAACGTCCTGCCCTCCACCGTGCAGCCCGGAGGTGGGAACCGCCCCGGGAACAGCGGGAATAACGGCGGGAATAACGGCGGGAATAACGGCGGGAATAACGGGAATGGCGGGAATAACGGCGGGAATAACGGCGGGAATAACGGGAATGCTGGGAATGCTGGGAATGCTGGGAATATCGGGAATGCTGGGAATGGGGATATCAGGAATGGGAACGGGAATGGGAGTGGGGATGGGATCGGGAATGGGAATATTAGGATTGGGAATGGGATCAGGAATATTGGGAATGGGAACGGGAATGGCGGGAATGTCGGGAATAGTGGGAATAATGGGAATAGCGGGAATGGGAATGGGAATATTGAGAACGGGAACAGGAAGAGGAATGGGAACGGGAGCAGGAATGGAATCGGGAATATTGGGAACAGGAATATCGGGTATGGGAATGGGGACAGGAACAGGAGCGGGAATGGGAGCAGGAATGGCGGGAATGGGAATATTGGGAATGGGAGCGGGAACAGGAATGGGAATGGGGTTGGGAATGGGATCGGGAATATTGGGAACGGGAATGGGATTGGGAATGGGAACAGGAGCAGGGACAGGAATGTCGGGAATGTCGGGAATAACGGGAATAACGGGAATATTGGGAATATTGGGAATGGGAGTGGGAACAGGAATGGGAATGGGGTTGGGAATGGGATAGGGAATATCGGGAACGGGAATGGGATTGGGAATGGGAGCAGGAGCGGGAACAGGAATATCAGGTATGGGAATGGGGACAGGAACAGGAGCGGGAATGGGAGCAGGAATGGCGGGAATGGGAATGGGAGCGGGAATGGGAATGGCGTGAATGTCGGGAATAGTGGGAATGGCGGGAATGAGAATAGTGAAAATGGGAATATCGGGTATGGGAATAGGGACAGGAACGGGAGCGGGAATGGCGGGAATGGGAATGGGAGCGGGAACGGGAATGGCGTGAATGTCGGGAATAACGGGAATAACGGGAATGAGAATGGGAATATTGGGAATGGGAGTGGGAACAGGAATGGGAATGGGGTTGGGAATGGGATCGGGAATATTGGGAACGGGAATGGGATTGAGAATGCGAACAGGAGCGGGAACGGGAATATCAGGTATGGGAATGGGGACAGGAACGGGAGCGGGAATGGGAACAGGAATGGCGGGAATAATGGGAATGGCGGGAATGGGAATATTGGGAATGGGAGCGGGAATAACGGGAATATTGAGAATGGGAACGGGAACAGGAATATCAGGTATGGGAATGGGGACAGGAACAGGAGCGGGAATGGGAGCAGCAATGGCGGGAATGGGAATGGGAACGGGAATGGGAATGGCGTGAATGTCGGGAATAGTGGGAATGGCGGGAATGAGAATAGTGAAAATGGGAATATCGGGTATGGGAATGGGGACAGGAACGGGAGCGGGAATGGCGGGAATGGGAATGGGAACAGGAATGGGAATATTGAGAATGGGAATGGGAACGGGATTGGGAATGGGAGCAGGAATGGGATCGGGAATGTGTGGGAACGGGATTGGGAACGGGATTGGGAACGGGAATGGCGTGAATGTCGGGAATAGCAGGAATAGCGGGAATGGGAATATTGAGAATGGGAACGGGAACAGGAATGGGAATGGGAGCGGGAATGGGATCAGGAGTATCGGGAACAGGAATGGGATTGGGAATGGGAACAGGAGCAGGGACAGGAATGTCGGGAATAAGAATGGGAACGGGAATGGGAGCGGGAACGGGAATGGAAATGGAAATGGGAATGGTGTGAATATCGGGAATAGCAGGAATATTGGGAATGGGAACGGGAACGGGAGCAGGAATGGGATCAGGATCGGGATAGAGAACGGGATCGGGAATATTGGGAATGGGATCAGGAATTGAAACGGGAATTGGATCGGGATCGGGAATATCGGGAAGGGGAATGGGGACGGGAGCAGGAATGGGATCAGGAATGGGATTGGGAATATCGGGATCGGGATCAGGAATGGGATCGGGAATATCGGGAAGGGGAATGGGATCGGGAATATTGAGAATGGGAATGGGAGCAGGAATGGGAATATCGGGAATATCGGGAATTGGAATGGGATTGGGAATGGGAACGGGAGCGGGAAATGGGATCAGGAATAGGAATATTTGGAACAGGAATGGGAATGGGATTGGGAATGGGATCGGGAATATCAAGAATGGGATCGGGAATGGGAACGGGATCGGGAATGGGATTGGGAGCGGGAAAGGATTTAAAACTCGTTTGGTTCTGGAATGTCCCGGAAATTTGGGGTTTTTTGGGTGTGGAATGTGTCGGGAATTTGGGATCTTTGGGGTCTCAGAGCCTTTGGAGAATCCCAGAAATTTGGGATCCTTGGGAGATTCCAAGGGCTCAGAGAATCCCAAAAATTTGGGATCCTTGGGGTCTCTGAACCCTCGAAAAATCCCAGGGAATTTGGGTTCCCAAACCTCCAAAATTCCCAGAAATTTGGGATTCCTGGGAGATTCCAAGGGCTCAGAGAATCCCAAAAATTTGGGATCCTTGGGGTCTCTGAACCCTTGGAAAATCCCAGAAATTTGGGATCCTTGGGGTCTCTGAACCCTCAGAAAAATCCCGGGGATTTGGGTTCCCAAAACCTCCGAAATTCCCAAAAAATTTATGCTCCCAGATCACTCCAAAAAATCCCATCCCGCGTTCCCAGCCGGATCTTCCCTCAGGGATCATCCACAACAAATCCGGGAATTCCGACCCAGCCAGGAAATTCCTTCCCGAGATCCCAATCTCCCCTTTCCCGGCGGGATCCGTTCCCGCCCCTCTGGAATTCCCATTCCCTCTTTTCCTCAGACGACGTCGTCTCCAATTATTTCACCAAGGGAAAACGCGGGAAGCGCTCCGGGATTCTCCTGATTTTCTCCTTTATCAAGGAAGCCATCCTGCCCAGCCGACAGAAAATCTACTGAAATCCGGGAATTTCCCGGGAATTTCCCCACGGATCCTCATCCGGGATTATCCCAAACTGTGCCTCTCTCCGCCGGGAATTCCTCGGGGAATTCGGACTCGGACGCTCCTGGAGCGCTTGGAGCTTTTCCGGCTTTTTTTTTTTTTTCCCCCCCCTGGCTGACGTCGGGATGGGAATTTTGGGAATTTTTGGGAATTTTTGGGAGTTTTCCCAATTCCCGTTTTTTTTTTTTTTTATGGAGATGCTCCCGACAGAGCCGCGGATTGGAAAGAAACCGGGAAAAATCGGGAGAAATCCGGAGGATTTTACGGAGCTGTCCCTTCATCCCGTTTTTTTTCCAGAGGGAAAGGACCTGGAATGATCCCAAAAAAAACCCCCCAAAATCTCGGGATTTGGGAGGTTTAAATCCCGGAAATTCCCCGTTTTTCCCCTCCAGCAAAACTTTGGGAAGGAGTTGATGGATTTCCATGGGAATCTCCTCGGTTTTCCAGGGAATTCCCAGAATTCCCGGATTTTTCCTTCTTCCTTTTCCAAAGGAAAATCTTCCAAGGGAGATGAAAATTCCATCCTAAAATTCCCGGTTTTATTTTTCTCCTCCCCCTGGAATTCTCCTGAATTCCCACAGAAAAATTCCAAGAGGAATTTCGGGAAAAGGATCTCGAATCCCACGGAATTCCAACCGGGAGAATCCCAACCCTCTGCCGGATTTGTTTTAGGGAAAAAAATTCCGTTGGAAAAGTTGGAATTTTCCCTTTGAGACCTCTGGATTGGCTTTTTTTTTTTTTTTCCCCCCACTTTTCGGGATTTGCTGGAAAATTCCTGGATTTGGGAATGGGATGAACCAGGACGAGAACAAGGAAATTCAGGAATTCCCGATTCCCTTAAATCCCGATTTTTTCCCGGGATCCAGGATGGGATCCCGGGCGTTTTTCCAACCCGGATCCCGCTCGGAATTTCCTGGAGCTGAAGCAGATTCCAGGGAAATTGCGGAATTACAGAACTTTCTCAGCAGGAAAAGGAAAATCTGGGATGAAACCTCCCTGAATTTGGGAAAGCCGTTCCCGGGAATTCCGGGAAGGCGAGAAATTCACGGCTAAGGTGGAAAATCCCAGATTTTCCTTGAGGATTTGAGGGTTTTCCTTGGGATTTGGATTTTTCCGGATCCCTGGAAGGATCCAGGGCCGGGATTGTGGAATTTGGGTGGAATTTTCCCACCGGAATTCCGGGATTTTCGGGGGAAAAATCCTCAGATTCCGATCCCAGCTCCCCCATCCCTTGGGATCATCGATTTTCCTGGATCGGGAAAGTGCAGGAAAAGTGGGAATTTCCATTCCCTGGAATTTCCCTGGAAGCAGCAGGGAGAGCCCAAAAAAAAAAAAAAAAAAAAAAAAAAAAAAGCCGGATTTGGAAAAATCCGGGAAGAAACTCCAAGATTTGGGGAAAAAAAAAATCCGGGAAAATTTCCTGCTCCTTTTTCCAGCAGGAATTTCCCTTTTCCAGGTTTTTTTTTTTGGGGCGGGAATTCAGCCTCTCCCTCCCGATTTTCCTCCTGGAAAATCCGCAGGGAAAGGGAGCAGGAATTCAAGGAAATCCGGGAAAATCCCGGAAAATCCCTCCCAGCCTTAAATATTCCAGGAAAAGTGGGGAAAAATAAAAAAAAAAATAAAAAATCCGGGATAAATCCGAAGGAATTCCTGGGGAACGGAGGATTTGGGATTCCCGGGAAAAGAGCTTTGGAATGCCGGGAATAATTCCGGCTGATCCCAAATCCAAAGGAAATAAAGGATTTGATTTGGATGTTGTAGAAAAGGAGGAGCTGCCGGAGGTTCTGTGGGATTTTGGGAAGAGATTCCCGGATTTTTTTTTTGGGGGGGGGGTGGAATTTTGAGGGTGGAATTCCGGCGGATCCTTGGGAATGTTTTCAAGGCCTGGATCCGTTCGGAATTACGGGATTTGGAGGGGGGGGTTTGGGTGATTCCCGAGCCAAAGCGGTGCGGAATTCCATGGAATGCTGGTTTTTCCAGGGATTCCCAGGAGGGTGGGAAATTCTGGGAAAAGAGGCTGGAAAATCCTGAGGAAAAAAAGGGTGGAAAACCCTGGGAATTCAGAGTGGAAAATCCCAGGAAAGGAGGGCGGGAAATCCCGGGAATGCAGAGTGGAAAAACTTGGGATAAAAAGGTAAGGTGGAAAATCCTGGGGAAGGAGGCAGGAAAATTCTGGGAAAAGAAGGTGGAAAATCCCAGGAAAGAAGGGCAGGAAATCCTGGGACTGAGGCTGGAAAATCCTTGGAAAAAAAAAGGTGGAAAATCCTGGGAATTCACAGTGGAAAAACCTGGGAATGAGACAGGAAAATCCTGAGGAAAAAAGGTGGAAAATCCCAGGAAAGAAGGGCAGGAAATTCTGGGAATGAGGCTGGAAAATCCTGGGAATTCAAAGTGGAAAATCCTGGGAAAAAAAAAGTTGGAAATCCTGGGAATTCAGAGTGGAAAAACCTGAGATAAAAAGGTGGAAAATGCCAGGAAAGAAGGGCAGGAAATCCTGGGAATTCTGTGTGGAAAATCCTGGGAATGAGACTGGAAAATCCCGAGGAAAAAAAGGCGGGAAATCCTGGGAAAAGAGGCTGGAAAATCCTGGGAATTCAGAGAGGAAAATCCTGGGAAAGGAGGCAGGAAAATTCTGGGATAAAAAGGTGGAAAATCCCAGGAAAGAAGGGCGGGAAATCCTGGGAAAAGAGGCTGGAAAATCCTGAGGAAAAAAAAGGTGGAAAATCCTGGGAATTCAGAGTCTAAAATCCTGGGAAGAAGGTGGAAAATCCTGGCAAAGGAGGGCAGGAAATTCTTGGAATTCAGGGTGGAAAATCCCGGGAATTCAGAGTGGGAAAAACCTGTGCTAAAAAGGTGGAAAATCTTGGGGAAGGAGGCAGGAAAATTCTGGGAAAAGAAGGTGGAAAATCCCAGGAAAGAAGGGCAGGAACTTTTGGGAAAAGAGGGTGGAAAATCCTGGGAATTCAAAGTGGAAATCCTGGGAATTCACAGTGGAAAAACCTGGAATAAAAAGGTGGAAAATCCCAGGAAAGAAGGGCAGGAAATCCTGGGAAAAGAGGGTGGAAAATCCCTGGAAATGAGGTAAAATCCTGGGATTTCAGGGCGGAAAATCCTGGGAATTCACAGTGGGAAATGCCAGGAAAAGAAGGTGGAAAATCCCGGGAATTCAGGGTGGGAAATCCCGGGAAGCAGCAGCTCCTGTCCCATCCCTGTCCCTTCCCAACGGGAATTGTTGTCCATGGAATTGTTTTCCATGGAAGATCCGGGGCCCGGCGCCGCCGCCCTGGGATGGATTCCAGCTCCCAATCCCAAATTTTCCAGGATTGGCCTCCCCCTCACGGCCCCCGGGACACCGAGCTGGGATCCCCTGGAATTCCTCTGGAATTCTTCTGGAATAATCTGGAATCCCTCCAGAATTCCCCTGAAATTTCTCTGGAATTCCCTGAGATTCCTCTGGAATCCTCCTGGAATTTCTCTGGAATTCTTTTGGGATTTCCCTGGAATTCCTCTGGAATCCCCCTGGAATTTCTCTGGAATCTCTCCAGAATTCCCCTGAAATTTCTCTGGAATTTCTTCGGGAATGGGGGAAAGGTGGGAAAAGGGGTGGGGAAAAAAGGGGGGGAAAAGGGGGGGAGGGGCCTTGGGATGGACGGGATTCCATTGGGATGGACAGAATTCCATTGGGATGGATGAATTCCATTGGGATGGACAGAATTCCATTGGGATGGACGAGATTCCGTTGGGATGGATGGAATTCCATTGGGATGGGACAGCCCTAGGGATGGATGGAATTCCTTTGGGATGGATGAGATTCATTGGGATGGATGGAATTCTGTTGGGATGGACAGAATTCCTTTGGGATGGACAGAATTCCATTGGGATGGGTGGAATTCTGTTGGGATGGATGGAATTCTGTTGGGATGGATGGAATTCTGTTGGGATGGACAGAATTCCATTGGGATGAAATGGCTTTGGAACGGAATTCCATTGGAATGGAATTCCGTTGGGATGAAATATTATTGGGATGGAATTCCGTTGGGATGGATGGAATTCCGTGGGGAAGGACGGAATGGCCCTAGGGATGGAATTCCATTGGGATGGAATGGCCTCGGCATGGAATTCCTTTGGGATGGACAGAATTCCATTGGGATGGACGAGATTCCATTGGGATGGATGGGATTCTGTTGGGATGAAATGTTATTGGGATGGAATTCCATTGGGATGGATGGAATTCCATTGGGATGGGACAGCCCTAGGGATGGATGGAATTTCATTGGGATGGATGGAATTCCTTGGGGATGGATGAGATTCATTGGGATGGATGGAATTCCGTTGGGATGGATGGACAGAATTCCATTGGGATGGATGGAATGACCTTGGGATGGATGGATGGAATGGCTTTGGGATGGATGGAATTGCCCTTGGGATGGAATTCCAACGGGATGGAATTCTGTTGGGATGGATGGAATTCCTTTGGGATGGAGAGAATTCCATTGGGATGAAATGGCCTCGGGATGGAATTCCATTGGGATGGGACAGCCCTAGGGATGGACGGAATTCTGCTGGGATGGAATTTCAATGGGATGGGATTCCGTTGGGATGGACGGAATTCCATTGGGATGGAACGGCTTGGGATGGAATTCCTTTGGGATGGATGGAATTCCAATGGGATGGAATTCCATTGGGATGGAACGGCTTGGGATGGAATTCCTTTGGGATGGATGGGATTCCGTTGGGAAGGACAGAATGATCCTAGGGATGGAATTCCAATGGGATGGAATGGCCTCGGCATGGATGGAATTCCATTAGAATGGAATTCCATTGGGATGGGTGGAATGATCTTGGGAGGGAATTCCTCTGGGATCTGTGGAATTCCATTGGGATTGAATTCCATTGGGATAGAGTGGTTTAGGGATGGACAGAATTCCATTGGGATGGACGAGATTCCATTGGGATGGACAGAATTCCCTTGGGATGGGCGGAATTCCATCGGGATGCATGGAATGGCCTTGAGATGGAATTCCTTTGGGATGGAGAGAATTCCATTGGGATTAAATGGCTTTGGAATGGAATTCCATTAGAATGGACAGAATTCCATTGGGATGGATGGAATTCCCTTAGAATGGAATTCCATTGGGATGGGTGGAACGGGCTTGGGATAGAATTCCGTTGGGATTTGTGGAATTCCATTGGGATTGAATTCCATTGGGATGGATGGAATTCCATTAGGATGGAATTCTGCTGGGATGGATGGAATTCTGCTGGGATGGACACAATTCCATTGGCATGGACACAATTCCATTGGGATGGAGAGAATTCCCTTGGGATGGACACAATTCCATTGGGATGGACACAATTCCCTTGGGATGAACACAATTCCCTTGGGATGGACACAATTCCATTGGGATCTCAAAACCCACAGAGGAACATTTGGGATTTTCCACGGCGGGATGGGATGGGCTGGGATTTCTCCCCCAAAACACGGAATTCTGGGATTTGGGGGGAGCTCGGGATGGGCTCCGGGGATTCCCAGGGCTGGGAATTCCGTGGCCGCGGAAGGAAACGTCGGAGCACGAAGGGATTTGGAGACCACGGTGGTTTATTCCCAAAAAAGATTGTTTTCCCTAATTTTAGGGAAGGGGGAATTTAGGGAAGGGGGATGGGATTTTAGGGATGGGAGATTTCAGGGAAGAGGGAATTTAGGGAAGAGGGATTTTGGGGAAGGGGAATTTTAGGAAAGGGGAATTTTAGGGAAGGGGGATGGGATTTTAGGGAAGAAGGAATTTAGGGAAGAAGGAATTTTGGGGAAGGGGGATGGGATTTTAGGGATGGGAGATTTTAGGGAAGGGGGATTTCAGGGATTTGTGGGGATTTTAGGGAAGGGAAATTTCAGGGAAGGGAAATTTCAGGAAAGGGGAATTTTGGGGAAGGGAGATTTTAGGGATTTGTGGGGATTTCAGGGAAGGGGGATTTCAAGGAAAGAGGATGGAATTTTAGGGAAGGGGGATGGGATTTTAGGGAAGGGGGAATTTAGGGAAGAGGGAATTTAGGGAAGAGGGAATTTAGGGAAGAGGGAATTTAGGGAAGAGGGAATTTAGGGAAGAGGGATTTCAGGGAAGAGGGAATTTAGGGAAGGGGGAATTTAGGGAAGGGGGATGGGATTTTAGGGACGGGGAATTTCAGGAATTCCGGGAATTTCCGGAATTTCAGGATCGGGGCTCACAGGGCCGTGCCCTGCTCGGCCGCCTTGGCCTCGCGGGGGTAGAACTCGGCCAGGACGTTTTCCGGGATGCGCTTGAGGAGCTGCTTGGGGAAGATCCTCAGGAGCCGCCAGCCGATGTCCAGCGACTCGAAAATGCTCCGGTTCTCGTAGGGCCCTGCCGGAGGATTTGGGGATGCGGGAACGGCTCTTCCCGATCCCGAATTCCCGGATTTGGGGCGGGGGGCTGACCCTGGGAGATGAAATGCTTCTCGAACTTGTGCAGGAACTCCAGGTACAGGAGGTCGTCGGCCGACAGCGCCTCCTCGCCCACCACGGCCTTCATGGCCTGCACGTCCTTGCCGATGGCATAGCAGGCGTACTGCGGGATCCCGGGATTCCAGCCATGGATCGGGATGGGCACGGATCCCACGGCCCGGCCGGGAACACCTCCCACCGCCCCGGTGGGCTCCGAGCTCCATCCAACCCAGCCCGGGTGGATCCAAATCCATCCCAACCCGGCCTTGGGCATTCCCAGGGATCCAGGGATCCACAGGAAATCTGGGAATTGCAGCCCAGGCAGGAATTCCTTGCCAAGATCCCAGCCCAATCTCCCCTTTCCCACTGGAAGCCATTCCCTGGCTCCTGGCCCTGCAGCCCTTTCCCAAATTCCGGCTGTCCTGGAGCTCCTGCAGGGACTCTGAGGATTCCCTGGATTTTTCCCTTCTCCAGGGGAGCATTCCCAGAATTCCCAGCCTGGCTCCAGAGCAGCTCCAGCCCTTGGAGCATCCCCAGAACCTCCTCTGGAATTGCTCCAGCGGATTTGGGATTTGGGATCTGGAGCAGCTCTGCAGGAGGAGCCTCACCCAGGCAGGGACGGGAAGCCCTGAGGTGACAAATGCCACCCCCCGAGTGTCCCCAAGGCCTCACCAGCTGGTTGGACACGTCCCCGTGGTCCTTCCGGGTCATTCCCTCTCCGATGGCCGATTTCATCAGCCGGGACAGGGAGGGCAGAACGTTGATGGGGGGGTAAATCTGTGGGGTGAGAGTGACCCCGGTGTGGGACCCCACCCCTATGCACGGTGTTCCCATCCTGGATCTGATCCATCCCTGGATCCATCCCTGGATCCCATCCGTGGATCCATCCTGGATTCATCCCTGAATCCATCCCTGGATCCATCCTGGGTCTGATCCATCCCTGGATCCATCCCTGGATCTGATCCATCCTTGGATCCATCCCTGGATCCATCCTGGGTCTGATCCATCTCTGGTGCCCATTCCTGGATCTATCCCAGGATCCATCCTTGGATCCATCCTGGATTGGATCCATCCCTGAATCCATCCTTGGATCCATTCCTGCACCCATTCCTGGATCTATCCCTGGATCCATCCTGGGTTTGATCCATCTCTGGATCCATGCCTGGATCTATCCCATGATCCATCCTGGATCCATCCCCGATCCATCCTCGATCCATCCCATGATCCATCCCCAGATCCCTCCCCGATCCATCCTGGAACCATCCTGAATCTATCCCATGATCCATCCCCAGATCCATCCCCAATCCATCCCTGATCCATCCCCGGATCCATCCCATGATCCATCCCATGATCCATCCTGGATCCATCCCGGATCCATCCCCGATCCATCCCCGGATCCATCCCAGATCCATCCCCGATCCATCCCTGGATCCATCCCTGGATCCATCCCAGATCCATCCCTGGATCCATCCCCGATCCATCCCTGGATCCATCCCTGGATCCATCCCAGATCCATCCCCAATCCATCCCAGATCCATCCCCGATCCATCCCAGGATCCATTCCCAGATCCATCCCCGATCCATCCCGGAGATGTTGGGAATGGCTTTGGGGTCCCACCTGGCGGTTGTGGAGCTGCCGGTCCACGTAGATCTGTCCCTCGGTGATGAATCCGGTCAGGTCGGGGATGGGGTGGGTGATGTCTGGGGTGGGGGGACAATGGGGGGTGAGACCCCCAGAGTGGGGGACAGGGGACAGCGCCGCCCTCACATCTGTGGGGCAGCACGGCCCCCACCGGGGCCAGCAGGGGGGCTTTGGGGTCACCTCCCCTGTCCTGGTGACAAGGACCCCAAAATGGGAT